AATCTTTTATATATCCTTGAAATCTGGCAATGTTTTTTAAACTCTCGTTTTTTTCCTTGACTTCTTAAATTAAATTCAAATGAAGTTATTAAAATGGATGATAATGTATCGTATGAATGTTTTAAAGAAATATTATATTTTTTCTACACTAATCGACTACAAGAAAATCTATTGTTTGAAATCTTACGAGATCTTTATTTACAAGCAAATATTATAAATTTAGAAGAATTAAAAGATTTGGCGACAACAAAAATAATTAAAATGATTGATGAAAATAACTGGAGTGAAATATTAATGTTAGGATGGAGTACGAATAATTTACAATTAAAGAATATTGCATTCAAATATATCAATAAGAATTGGTCAAGCATTCGAAATACTAAACAAATGAAGAATGTATTAAGTTGTGTTGATGTTGATTTAGCTGAAACATTATTTTATAAAAAATTCTTTGGAAAATAATGAATAATAATAATAATAAAAAATCAAGTTGTAAAATTATTATTTATATACAGGATTTTTTAATACATTATATTTTTTTAAAAAAATTTAGATTTATTATCTTAATGTAACATTTAATTCTTTCTCGATATTATTTCTTACTTTTTCTTGAATGTCATTGATTTCTTCGTTTGTACATGTTCTTTTGGAGGAGGGAGAAAGGAAGGAAAATTTGTTATTTTCTTTAATACTAAAAAATCTAAATGTTCAATAAAATTTAACATATGATAATTACCTATCCATAGATCTATAATTAATTCTATAGCATAAACTACGTTTTTTAGTTTTTGGATTTATAAAATCATCAACCTATTAAAAATAAACAAATAAAGCATTAATAATAAATATATATATATATAACAACAAGAATAATATCACCAAACCACCAAGTCGTCACCACTAGCACAATCAATTTACCAATTTAACATCTTCTACTAAATCTGCAGCAATTGCTCTTACTATTTCACAAAAATTGTTTTCATGAAATTTCATTTCTCTTCCATCTTCTTCATTATTCAACCAAAAACTAATATCTTTTGTACAGGATGGATGTTTGGAAAATGGTTGAAATTTTACTATTTTATCTGAGGATGTGAATTGACTTGTGAATCGTTCATCTTTCGACCAAAATAATCTTATATCCGGTATACCAAACAATACCATCGCTATACGTTCCAAACCTAATCCAAATGCCCATCCAATCTTATTCGATTGACCTACCAAACAAATATAAATAATTATATAGTGTTATTGTTATATCATTATATAAGATTATAATATATTATTATTATTATTATTATCATTATAATTTTCTAAGAAGTATATCCCTCAACTACCGATAGTCAAGCACAACTTTGAAATCGGCTCGGGATTATGGATAGAAAAATTAATACAATCAAACCTCGTCTCAGCGAAGTGCTGGATATATAAGAAAACTCATTCAAAATTCGTTGAAACAGGATTATTAACGAATTTTATATGTTTTCATAATGTGTAATAAATAGTAATGGTAATAGTAACAAGATTTTTAAAATTCGTTGAAACGAGAGTTTGACTGTATTTGAATAAATTCACTCATAATAAAATTAACTACCTAGATATTTTATTTAAAAGAAACAATTTCTACTCTTCAAATAAATAATAATGATAATCAATTATTAACATCAAATGATAATATACGAAGAAAGACTTTGATGGTCGCGTAACAATTCTTTTCTAATTGTACACCACTACATAGATCCATTTTTTAAAAACAATATATCCAACAATTTATCTGCGTCACTAGTGTTGCTGACTGGCCTGGATATCATTATTGCCTAGAAGTCAGAACTAGAATTAATACTAATACTAGATTTATGTAGGAGTTATTTAACTGTTAAATTGGGATTAGTATAATTGATGAACGGTTCTGTTTTTCAGGTTATTTGTTTAGCTTTAACCACGAGCATATTGTGGTAACCAAATATTTATAGAATGATTGAGATTTTTCTATGAGAATTAGATATAGCACCTCTGAAATTAATGATACTTTAAAAATAAAGACAAACCATTAGTGAAATAAACAATCCTAAAAATTATAATTGGTTTCTTTAAACCTTATCTTTGCATTTGATGTCGATACTTGTGATCCGTGGTGAATTATACCATACATTTGAAATTATAAATACTTATCGATTTATATATGAGATTACTTAAAGTCAGATGATGGGTCACTTGTATAATTTGTTTTCATTTCTCTTATTTTAATAATAATAATAAATAATATTATAAAACGGTGAAATTAATTATCCATCAACAATTTTCCAACTTTTAAAATTTTAACCTTATCAACCCTCCTTTAAAATACTTCTTATTTTTATTATAATTAATCAATTATTTAATAAAATTATATTTCATAATTTAATAAGCTATCATTACTACAATTTAATTTAGCAATTTCATCATTTAATATTCTGCTTGTATGTATGTTAATGAATGTGATTTATAAATTTGTTGCGAATTACTATTATCACTATTATTATTATTATTATTATTACGCTATTATTACCATAGTGACAGAATAATAATATACAATATGAAAATGTCTTAATATCATCTACCACGCTGCTGGAATTGGGCTTTAATTTTGTTTCCTAAATTTGCAAATTTCTTTTCTTCCTTAGGTTTAGTAGCTAAATATGATTCTCAATTTTTTTGATTCCTTTGGCTGATATTTCATCTATCTCTTTTTCCTTTAACTCTTGTATGCCAGTCATTTCAGCATTTAAAACCACCTGAGTGTTGACTATATTTTCTTTTTCTTCTTAATCTTTTATATATCCTTGAAATCTGGCAATGTTTTTTAAACTCTCGTTTTTTTCCTTGACTTCTTAAATTAAATTCTTTGCTGTGGAGAAGTAGTATAAGCAGTAACCACCATTATCAATTTATCTCAACCGGCAAGTTATTTTGTTGATAAAATTGCTTTCTCGTCAAATGTTACTTAATTCAAACTGGTTGGTGTTCTGACCATCCTTTCTTTTTGACCTTTTCCCAAAGTTTTATGGATTCTTTCTCAATACCTTTCTTGGCAACTTTTTAATCATATTGTTTATACTTCTCATAGTTTTTTTAAACTTCCATGATAATCATCAAAATTAGTATTATTATATTTTGGTTAGATTTCCCAACCATTTTAATTCTTGCTGAGTGTCAATATTAGCAATATCAGCTAAATTTCCTTAGGAAAATCACTCTCTGCTTGCATCTTACCTTGATTTTTCCCTGTCTCTTCAATAGTAAAATAATTTCCATTGGTAAACCATTCTTAACAATTTCAGAAGGTTTAAGTTTATGCTTTTCAAACTTATTTAATTCATCAATGGCTTTATTTGTCTCTTAGAAATAGTTCTTTATGTTATTCATAATAATATTTTTATAATTGCTTTGTGATTTGATTGTGATACTTGTAACCCGTGGCAAATAACATCACAAATTATTTATTTTATAGACTTTTCAAATATCAAGACCATACTCTGCTTTAAAGTAAGATACTTCCGAATTACTTCCCAGTTATAAATTTTATTATCTGTGAAATTATTTAAAGTCAGATGACAGGTCACTTTGTATAATTTTTCATTTCTCTTTATTTTAAATAATATAAATAAAAATTTATCCATCAACAAATTAAAATTTTAACCTTCCTTTCAACTATTTATTTATCCTTTATCATTGTTTTTAATTAATTAAATTTATTTAATAAGCTATCATTACTTAAATTTAATTTAGCAATTTCATCATTTAATATTCTACTTTCATGGTATGCTAATGGATGTGATTTATAAATTTGTTGTGAGTTACCATTATCATTACTATTATTGTTATTACCACTACTGCTACTACTACTATTATTACCATCACCACCACCAATATCACTGCTATTTTCATAAATTTCTTGTGATTTATTAGTAGCAAATGCAGTCAGCTCTGGAGCAGTTGGTCTCTTAGTTGGATCCATATCCCAACACCTTTGCATCATTTGTGCATAATCATTGGGCATTCCTGGTAATATTGGTGGTCGTAAGCCTTCACATATATCTACCATTAAGAAATGATTATGAGCTTTATCATCAAATGGTGGATGGCCTGCAAATATTTCCCACATTAACATTCCAACACTATAAATATCTGATTCTTTTGTATTCTTTTTTCCTTTAAATAACTCAGGTGCAAGATATGACATAATCCCATAAACCTTATTTGATGATTTTTCATCAACTGGTCCACATAATCCCAAATCTGTAATGTAACTACCACCTCTATCCATTAATATATTACCACTGTGTACATCACAATGAATTAAATCATCTCTATGTATTTGATTTAATGAATCACATAAACAGCTAAAAATATTAATTCTACCTTTTAATGTTAAATTTGAATGATTTTTTTGTAAATAATCTCTTAAATTTCCTTCTGGTGCATAATCTAGAACCATTGCATAATTTCCATTTTCTCGGAATTTAGTTATACCATAACAAGGAATAATTAAATCTGTTTTAATTTTACAATAATTCAATGCCTATAATTAATCATATAAATAAAAATAAAATCAATTGATTTAAAATAAATAGTTGATTTAATTTAAATAAGATTGATTAATTACCTCTAAAAAAAAAACTTCCTGGATTACTTGAATTATTTAAAGATTTTAATACTACTTTCTGAGCTCCAAAATAATTAAATTCTTTTTTATTTTCATCATAATCATCAATAGTTCCTCTTGTCCACCTGGCAGTATAAATTGAACTGAATCCACCTTCTGTTAACTTTTTTATATTTTCAAATTGCTCATAAGGTACCCATTCTATAATTGCATCTGGAAGAGATGAAAGATTTTGACATTTTTGAATAAAATTATCAATTATTTCATTTCCAGATGTCCAAGTATCAAAGAGATTCTGCAAGTGTAAACTAATACACTCTTCACAAAATTTATCAGAGTATCTTGTTACTCCACAATTTTTACATTTTCTTGGTTCTCCTAATTTATTCCTTGCATTCTGTAATTCAAATTCATAAATAATCATTTCTCTACAATATTCTTTTTCATTTCTAAAAGGTTTTTGTTTTCTTTGACTAATTGTAAAAAAAAATCTTTTCTATTTTTTTTGTCAATTGAAAAGGCAGAATAGGCATTATTATACATTTCATTATAAATTTTAAGTACCAATTCCTTTCTGTTTACTGTCAATAATTTTACAGGGTGTTAAGAAAAAAACGGCGGTTGGTAAAAATATTGTT